CGCCCCCGCAGCGTCTCGGGCGTCACTTTTGTCGAAACTTGTTTGTGCGCTTTTTTTTTTTTTTGTCTTTGACGCCTTTGCCTCCACATGCGAGACTGCCTGAGGGTGTTTGTTGCACGCGGTCTCTATTTTCCTCGCTTTTCTTCAGTCGTCACGTCGGGGTTTCACTTGCGGGCTTCACTTTGCGTACTCTCATATCACGTTGCAGACGGGTACGCCACCATCGCTTGTGAAGGAAAGAGTTTTTCCCGAGAGAGTGGTCGCGGACGAGCAGTTGCTGCGTGCGCGCTCCCGTCGGCCGGACGAGGCCGTTTGGCTTTGCACGAGTCCTCGCTCAGCCGCGGCCTCCTCCTCGTCTGTTGACAGCTTTCAAACGAACGGCCGAGCTTTCAAGATGCCGGAGGACCTCCCCCTCAACCTCCTCCTTCTCACTCTCCCCTTGCTCTTTGCTTTCCTCTTATCTTGTCTTCCATTTTGTTTTTCCTCTCGTCACCCCTGGCCTTCGCCACCCACTCCTTCTTTACTCTTTGTCCCTACGTGTATTTCTCTCTCCCGCTCCACCCTTCCTTTCTCCTCCTCATTTTCCTCCTTCCTCCGTCTCCTGCCCTCATCAATCTCCTCCATGTCCTTTTGCTCCTCCGCCTCCTTGAGACTCCTCTTTCTTCTCCTTCCTCCTTATCTTTGCATCTTGACTTCATCCTCCTCCTCACCGTCGTCCTCTCCGCCTTCCTCCTTTTTCTAATCCTTCCTCATCATTTTCCCCCCCAGCCGTCGTCGTCCTTCCTCTGATGATTCATCCACGCCTCCTTTTCCTCCTCCTCGTTCTTCTCTCCCTCTGTCCTTCCTCCCCGTCCATCTCGTCATTCTCCGCCACTCACTCACTCCTCTCCTTGATTTTGATTTGTTCATCTCCACCGCCGTCACCCGTTTTGACTCCAATCTTCTTCTTCACCTCCTCGGTCCTCAACTCCTCCTCCTCCTCCTCCTCATCCCGCTACATTCGTTGATCGGTTTTTGCATCGATCGGCAGCCAGTGGTCAGCGCTCTCCGTTCACCATCTCCCCCTTTTCTCTTGTCTTGTTCCTCCTCGCCCTCCTTTTTCTCCTGAGCCTGCTCTTCCTTTTGTTCTTCTCTTTGTCCTCATCCTTTTCCTGGACCGCCTCCTTTCTCTCCGTCCTCCTCCTTGCACATCCTCCTGCTGCACCCTGACTTCCTCATCCACCCGCACCTCCTCTTCCTTTCCCTTTTCGGCCCTCTCTGCTGAGGCGTCCCGACGCACCTCGTCTCCTCGGTCGACGCGTTGATCAAGCACAGCAGTTTGGGCGGCGGGCGCGGCGAGGAGGCCGAAAACTCCCGGGCGGGTCCGGTTGTTTCCGTTCTTCTGTTTGTCAGCGTCTTCCTTGAACACATGCTGGTAGATATTGATCAGTTGAAGCTAATCATGCTGCTGGTGGGAACGCCGGGGCCTGAGCTCTTGATGAAAATTTCTTCAGAGTCTGTGAGTTGCCGACGACACGCCGAGGCGTTTGCTCGGCGACGCGCCGCATCACCGGCCGCATGTGTTGCATTGCATCATCAAACATGAGAGGCTTTCTTGGGAATCGCTCACTCGCCCCTAAATCCTGAACCGTGTCGTCGGTGTGCGTCGTGAGGACGCTATATTGCTGCTCTCAATGCAACATGAAAAGTAACCGTTGATCACTATTAAATCATACCTTTTTTTATGTGTCTCGGACCGGTTGAGACAAGTACGTGGTCTTCGCGGACCGGCAACCACTTTTCCCGTCGCTTTTAAATTGCCCGTTTTATAGCACTGCTCCTGACAA